TGTTTCTTCAGTTGTTTGTGTGGTGAGAATATGCAACACGTGTGGTGTCACATTGGTGAAGATAGTTTATTTATTTGCTGGTGTTTTTTGTAATTGCATGTTCTTTCTTAAATTGTAGTGCATTAAGCTCTCGGCCACCAAAAAATATACACTTTATACATTTAGCGTTATCGGCAACAGTAGTAAGAACAGTGAATTTTTCACAGTACTGAATGATTTACAATTTAATTTTATCAAGCTGATTATTTGTTTTTCAATAAAATTAAAGGTTCTAAGTTCTGTTTGTTAAAAACAAAAGTGTCTTTTAGTACTGTTTTTATAATAAATGGAAAGCAAATTACATTTGTCTCCTCCCCTTTTTGGCTGATCTTAAAAATGGTATGATCTATGACTAAAAAACCATAATGTGATCTGAACTGAGATTTGTGATCCATTACACCACTAGTTTTTCCGAAGGTAAATATAGCAAACTGTAGTTCAGTAAAGTTGCCATGGGTAAATTCCTAATTTTATAATATTAAAAAAATTTACACTTACTGTAATTCATTCTACTTTTTTTGAAAATGTATAATATTCTAATGAACTTATTACAATAAAACCATAACAAATTCAATTTATAAAACAATAGTGTTCAATGCTGAAAACACTAGTCATGCTGCTTTGTGACAGTATGTAAATTAAAAAATCTGATTCATTTATACCATTTAATTAAAACATTTAATTTCAGTTTGCTGTTTTGTAACTCAACAATAAAAAAACAAACAAAAGGTTGCATAAAATTACAAATGAGAATCTCTATAGGCTTTCCCAACCCTTCCCCATAATTCAAAATCAAATCAAAAATCAACATACCAACGGCCAACATTGGTCGCGGTCCCTAGTTTAAGCATCTCTGCATTAGAGGGTCTGTAATATGTTACTTAGGGTGCAGTTTTGTAAAAATTATACATTTTTGTTGTACATTTCAGATGCAACCACTGACCTACAACCTTCATTTTATCTAAACTACAGTCAAATCTATATTTAGGAACTGACATTAAAGCGTGCAGTAATCAATGAACATCTTAAACTAGCATCTTTAACACCGCCAAAGCACGATAAATCAATATGAAATCTATAAACTCTTGACTAGTATGGATTTGCTTTGATTCACCCACTGTTTTGAGTCCAATAAGCTGCGATTAAATGGATTAGGAAGATGGAAAACAGCATGTATTCAGAAGAGATTAAAAAAGAGCTTCATTTTAAGATGAAGAGGATTTAAACGAGAAGACGTGACAGGATGCTCAGAACAAAACAATGAGAAACCGCAGTTCAGGTGCTTGTGATAAAAACTTATCTTATTCATTGCATTGTTGAAATAACCAATTCATATTTTTAGTTCAATTTTACAAAAAAAGCATAATCTCGCTGTATAAAGCGTGCTGCACAGCTCATCAGGTGGGTTCATTGTCTGTATTAGAGTTTCTCTAACATTTCATCATGTTCATGTGTATCTTTGTGGTGGCTTCTAGACAGCGTGAGGTCATTGAATAGTACTATTCTCACTCTGCATGTTCCATCTCAGAATAGATGGAGATGATTCACAGATGTATCTACAGTATGATTAATCTAGTCCTTGACCAAACACGATCTCTTCTGTGTTTATCCATTTCTCCCTATCAAATTGATAATATTGTTGAGTGTGCTTCACAGAGTGTGATCAAGCAAGTCTGGTCTACAGACACATAATAATGATTGTTTAAACTATTCTGAAAATGGGCTTAGGGGAGAATTCAGTTTCTTTCTTCTACAAAAAGCATAACTCAAATTCATTAATTTTTTAGGCAAATATTTGGAAAGCTTTAGGGATCTGGACAGATTTTTTGCCAGATCAATTCATTCAATCAGAATTAAATGGTTTCTTTAATAAGTGACTGTGAATTAATGATATGTGTATAACGCTTAGAATTAGTGTGGTACTGTACATAGTTTCTTAGATGGCATCAATGGTTTATAAAGAACATTTAATGTGAAAATGGATTATTGGATTAATAAACATAATTTTATGTAAGATATGTATAAATGGTAGACCAATAGCCACATTGGCCACCTTTATATTTAAGTCCAGTAGGTTGCCACTCTGTGTAACTTCCTGTATTCCAGGGCCAATCTGCCAAGTTGAATGATCTACAATAAGGCTCCAAGCAGGATTTGATCTGCTTAATTTTAATCTGTAAACCCTACAATGATGGACTGTCATCCACCAATAGATAGTTAAAGCAACAAAAAAAATGCATTAATAGGAAGGATGTTTGCATATCCACCTCAATGATGCAGGGCACATACTGTTCTTGACTCTGTGTTGACCTCCATTGTACTGCCTGTAGTCATGCAAGTGTGAAGAGACCAACAGAAGTGACTGGAATGATTCATTATGTTTAAGGGATTTCCTAGGTTCCCTAGGAAGGTCTTAATGTTTCCTTTTTCCAAAGTGAAGGGCAGAAATTGTTGTCAGAGGTGCTGCCTGTATCTTCAGCATAAGGTGTCAATATGTAATGAGGTTTTGTAAGTGATTTGTTTTTAAAATGTGTGCTAAAAAGATCTGACTAAAGCCTTAGTACTGCACACAGCCGAATGAATAATAGACATTGGCTGTGGTCAGATGTCCAAATTGTGTTAAGGTGCAATTCTGAGGAAAAAGTATTCTTTGTGATTTGTTTTTTATGTAAGAAATAAAATCATTATAGTATGATCCATGCAATCTAGAGATGGAAAGTACAAAATAGAAGATTTGAAACTTTTACAAAATTACAAGTAGGGCTGTTGTGATGATACAATTTGGCTGATGATTAGTTGTCTAAAAATAATTGTGATTTTTGTAATTAACTGCCTATTTTTGTGCAATGATGATTTATTGTTTATTTTGGGGCACATGCGGACTCTCACAAATTTAAAAAGTGAAAGGCACTCTGAATTGTGGTTATTGTCTCCCTTGTGGCTAATAAAGGAATTGCAACAACCAATATCTTCTGAATTAATAATGAAAAAAATGAAAAAAATATATATAATATAAATAGTATAAAAATATATATATACATATATATATATATATATATATATATACATACACACACACATAATAAATATAATATAAAACTAATAACCGCAACTATATGGTCATTTATTAATTATGACAAGCTTATTTACAAGATAGATTTTTAGGGGGGCAGGGAGAAAGTCAGGATTGTGAGAAAAAGGTGCATTAACCTTTTCCATCAATTGTCAAACTATTAAATCAGTACATTTATTTTGCCCCATCTTTACATATAAATATCAGAACAATAGATTTGTTAATTATATCTGAATGTGAATGATTTTTGTCAGTTAAGTCAAATTAATCAATATTTATCACACTTTTTATGTCTTCTAAAATTTACAAGAGGATGGATCTATGCCATCTTGTTTTTATACAGCTTTACAGGCCCATAGCCAGAGGAAGTTTGGGTAGTTCGACAGACACACCCCACTCTGACAAAGTCCAGAATTTGGTCTCTACATGAACTCATTTGTCCCATCTTTGAAAGTATGTCATCATAAATTGTAAAAATAACTGTTAGAAAAATACTTCAAGACGCATTTAATTTTTAATTATTCAAATGTACAAATTCTGAGTGAGGAAATGAGCTGGCCAGTTTGTTACTTACCTACAGGCTACAGTTTTTTTAAATGTGTTTTAGATGGTTTTTAATACATTTTAACAGATTCCTAATTTTTTTTAATGATGCATGATGATAATAAATTTGCATTGTAAAAATCAGTGTACTGAAGTACTTTTCTTTCTTCTTCATAATTTTTTTTATTTAAAATTTCAATCTCATGATATTATTTGTAAAACTATAATAACTTAGCTTAAACGTTCATTTTCTAAATAAACACTCTGTGGTAAAATACCATGGTAAGCACTTGTAGAATTGTAGAAAAAAATGTAGTCGCATTAAAAAAATGTGCCTATGATCACCATCCGACAAGCTAATGCAGCAAAGATTAGTGGTTAAAATGTCACTAAATTGAAGCATTTGAACCTCATAATTGAGGAAAATAAGTGCAAAAGCTCCACTTTCAATAAGCTGGCTACGGGCCTGCTTTAAAATCTTTTGAGTGCTACATCGCAAATACAATGTGGTCTCATGTGAGCTATCAAGCAAACTAAGGCCGTACTCACACTATGTGCAGTTGCCTCGAACCGGGCCAAAGCACGCTTATCCCCCCAATCGTCTCCCCCAACGGCCCGCACTCACACTACAATCGGGCCTGGGCACGCTTACGTCGCTCAGCACAGTGGAGATTTCTCTAGTTCTACCAGAAAGACTTTTGGAGGCAGATAAACGTTTGAACATTTCTTGTGAATTGTTTGCGTCAATGAGAGTTTGTTACGGTCCTTTCATAAAGTTCTTTGGCGTAAGTGCAGAACTCTGGATGAGCTGGCAGATCCCGCCTGAAGATGACGGCAGGGCAAAGCCAACCCCCTGAGTGGAGACAAGGCCGACCTGGTGGTGGTGGTGATAGGGAGGATGGAGGGAAACTTCCGCAACGTCACCTGAATACAGCGAAACAGATTGTGTAGATGAGCTCATATACATGCCTTGCTTGGTTGTTATAGGCTGACAAGATAATTATTATAAATGACGTAACACCTCAGTCTTCCTGGTAGAACTACTGCTAAAGCTTTCATTTATATTGTTTCAGTCGTTTGATATGCAGTGGCATGCGGTCAAATATTTTGCCAAACAGTCCTTAGGGATGCGGTGACACGCAGTCAGATATTTCGCCGAACAGATCTGCTACTTTTGGCGCTCATAAACAATCATAAAGGGCTTAAAATCCACGGCCTCTAGCATTTGTGAGTGGTTGATTAGTGTTGCATCATGCACCGTATAACTAAATCAATGTTGTCAATAATTCTCTAAATATAATTATTCAGAATTCTTCTTCAATGCAACTTTTTTTGTTTTTTACAGTAAATGTGCATGGACAGAACATCATGTATTCATCGCCTCTTACCAGACCCTGAGCATACAGACTACACCAGGACATGAACTCTTCGGAGTGGCCCACACTTTCTCCAAACTCGTCTTTGAGTCAAGCAAACCTCAGCGATGAGTCAAGCAGGCCCAAGACGAGTGCTTCAGCGGCCTGTGAGCAGGTACACATTGCGCCTGAGGTCTTCCTCACGCTGGGCCTCATCAGCCTGCTTGAAAACATCCTGGTCATCCTCGCCATTGTAAAGAACAAGAACCTCCACTCACCAATGTACTTCTTTGTATGCAGCCTAGCAGTGGCCGACATGTTAGTGAGCGTCTCTAATGCTTGGGAGACAATCGTCATTCATCTGCTGGCAAACAGGAGTTTGGTAATCGAGGATCATTTCATCCGTCAGATGGATAACGTCTTTGATTCCCTCATCTGCATCTCAGTGGTGGGGTCCATGTGGAGCCTGTTAGCAATTGCGGTAGATCGCTATGTGACGATCTTTTATGCTCTGCGCTACCATAATATAATGACCGTACGGCGAGCTGGGATTCTTATAGGCAGCATCTGGACCTTCTCCACCAGTTGTGGGATCATCTTTATCATCTACTCGGACACACAGCCTGTGGTTGTGTGCCTGGTGGCCATGTTTTTTGCCATGCTGCTTATGATGGCGTCACTCTACAGTCACATGTTCCTTCTGGCCCGTTCGCATGTCAAACGCATGGCAGCATTGCCAGGATATAACGCCAACATCCGGCAGAGAGCTAGCATGAAAGGTGCCGTCACCCTCACCATACTGTTGGGCATCTTCATTGTGTGCTGGGCGCCTTTTTTTCTCCATCTCATCCTCATGATCTCCTGCCCGCGAAACATTTATTGCGTCTGTTTCATGTCGCATTTTAATATGTACCTGATACTCATCATGTGCAACTCAGTGATCGACCCATTAATCTACGCACTCAGGAGCCAAGAGATGAGAAAGACCTTTAAAGAAATCGTGTGCTGTGAAGGACTACGCAGCTTCTGCAACATGGTCAGCAAATATTGAAGAGGGTGCCTGGAGGAACTCGACAGCTGATGAATGAATGTGTGTATAGATATATGGATCAGTGCATAATTAAAGTGGGGGAGAAGTGAACTGCATGCTGTATGTAATAGGCTGGGTGGTTAATTGAAATGAAATCGAAAATTTGATTGACCACAGCTATGATTGTCATGCACATGTTGTCAGGGAAGCATGGTGTTATCTCTAGTAAATCTTCTCCAAAGGTAAGAGGGCGCTCTCACTGAAACTCTAAATGCTGATGAAGAAGTCCAGGAAATCCTTATAGAGTTGCTGAATAAATAGAGCATTGAATTGATCTGCTTTCATTGATTCAGCATAACTAATAATCACAGGACAATGGAATCCTCTTAGAGAAGAATTTATTTCAAACACTCAAATTAGTTGACCTTTGATGGAAGTTAGTTAAGAGCAAAAACATGTAATTATCAGCCTGATCTCACGAAGAAATGTAACTATTTTATGTTTTGTCAGTTTAGTGGCTAATTCGTAGAATTCATATGAGTTCAGTCGCACGAAAATTTACAATTTTAAAAATGAGGTGTGGCACCCAACCACGCCTCAACAGTCATTGTGGCATAAGCAAATAATACTAAGTTGTACGAATGGTATCCTACGAATTCATACGAATTGGCCATTAAATCAAGAAGTTACGAATTGTTGTGAAATTATATTGGTTGTTATTGTGGTACTTTCATGTGCAGCATTTGTGTAGTTCAATGAGAAGCGACAAACACAGCTGCCATTATCTCAGAACTATTGTCTCAGTGTCATTATCGTCTCAGACATCCTAAGTGTCCCACAAACTAATGATAATCTCCCGTAAATCGTGCTACCTCGGCCCTCAAATACTTTGCGCACCCACCAACAACCCACCCAATCCCGCTTTTCAGATATGTCCAACACTACATGTGTGAACCTACACTGTTGTGATGTTTCCATTAGGTTACGATTATCATGCCATCGTTTCGGTTCAATTCGATATCTCAGTGCGTCACAGTGCATTAATGATGCTTTCCATACACCATTTTATATTTTACTTCACAGCACAAGAAAAATTTATAAATATATTTATATATTATTTGTAATACAATTTTGTCCTATGGCGAGGCAGTGGCACAGTAGGTAGTGCTGTCGCCTCACAGCAAGAAGATCGCTGGTTTGAACCTCGGCTCAGTTGGTGTTTCTGTGTGGAGTTTGCATGTTCTCCCTGCGTTCGCGTGGGTTTCCTCCGGGTGCTCTGGTTTCCCCCACAGTCTAAAGACATGCGGTACAGGTGAATTAGGTAGGCTAAATTGTCCATAGTGTATGAGAGTGTGTGTGAATGTTTCCCAGAGATGGGTTGCGGCTGGAAGGACATCCGCTGTGTAAAAACTTGCTGGATAAATTGGCGGTTCATTCGGCTGTGGCGACCCCGGATTAATAAAGGGACTAAGCCGACAAGAAAATGAATGAATGAATGAATTTTGTCCTGTAATACAATCAGTCAGATATATGAACTGTACCTTTAAAAACTCAAGTACAGGCACAGAATAACATGAGCATTCATAGCAAATAAACAAATGTAAATATCCTGCTAGCTTACTGAGCCTTGTCAAGCAAGTTCTTACACTCCTTATGATTAGTCACGCGCTCAACAGAAAGGACAGTGATTGGCTCTAATGCTCTGGCATTGTTCACAGATGATAAACATTGATTGCAGCAGTGATCATGATCATGATAGACGTGGTGGAGAAAACTCGCTCTGCAGACACGCTCGAGTCTGTATCCAGAAGTATCGTTGTAACAGCCGAAAGGAGAGAAAACGTCATGCCCACAGGTCGGCGGTCTACAGTCAGAGAGAGAGAGTGAGAGCGCGAGAGAGAGATAAATAGAGTTTACTTTCATTTTCTCAATTGCAGTGATATAGGGGCTTCTGCTGTTCAGTTTCAGTGAAAGACTCTCCAACAAACTCACAAGCAGTAAATTGTGCACGGTTTCTGCGTTTTAAAGTAGTTGGAGTGTTTTAATTACTCACACTCGCCTCTCTCGCAATAGTACAGTAAGTTACCGTGACATATGAGATAAATGATTTCAGTGCGTAATAACTGGTTATGATTATTACTAAACTGATACCGAATTATCTGTGTCTGCATCACGGTGCACTGAAGAAACAATTAATTTAGCCATATCGCGCACCCCCGTATTACTCCACATCATCCATGTCCCTCCCGGAAATGACATTTCCTAACTTAGGACGTCTGTCATCTGATTAAATGGATTTAGATTTTAAAATCAGTCTCTTTAAAATCATGTGCTAGAGGTTTTTCGAGAACTGGTTTACTGAAAAAAATGTGCATGAATATCACTTTCGTTTAATCGGCAAGCCCTTGATCGTAATGTGAATCATCCGATATTGATCAAGCATGCACTTTGTCTGCTTTGCACTACTTAGTTTGTCCACAAGGTGTCAACACTGAACCAAGCTGTTTGTTCAAAACAGAAATAACAGTGAACTACTGAAGAAGCCAAAAACAACAGAAAATTGATGATGAGTGAATGTGCGCAGGGATTAAAAGGTATTTGCAAATTCCTTTTAAACCAGTTTGAAACATGAATGTTGATAATAATAGAAAAAAAGTGTTGAAAACTAGGAATCTTTGTAGTGTGTGCCTATGCATGGTATTATGGATTATAATTTAAAAGGCTGTGCATTCCACTGTGTGTGTATGCTGACAATAATATTTATTTATTTTTTTAAGTACAATTTGGGCTTAATGGATTATATACAGATCTGTATGCCTTTCTATGTGGAATGTTTTGATGTAGAGTGAAGGTTCATGTTGTGTTAAATATTGAACTGAATAGTTTGTAATGTGGCATTATGTTAGACTCTGTACAATATTTATAAAAGGAGTTACATCTTTCTTTAAAGGGGACCTATTATACAAAAATCCCAATCATCAAAAATTAAGCACAGTTGTGTGGCAACAATGTGTAAATATAGCAAGCCTCTAATGGTAAAAATTCATGAGTTAAAAAATATTTATCACACTTGATAAAAACAAGTGCAGAAACACTTTGATTGACATTCCGCCTTTGTACATGTCATCAGAGAGGGAAAGTCCCTCCCTTTAATGATGATCTCTCCTTCATTAGCAGAAACAGTCCTGGCAGCCTCTATGCTGATGCATAGGTGTTTGTAGCTCTACCCTCTTTTGAAAAGATCAAAAGAGCACAGTCTCGTTTGAATTTAAAGCACAAGAGACCATATGGATCCACAATATGGATAAAAGCCTAGCAGAGGCCATTTCAAAATGTTAAAAAAAGTTATAACTATTAACCTCATAATAAACTTCACATACACACTCTAATGTCAATGACTTATTTTACATTATGTAAAAAGGGGCCCGATAGGTCCCCTTTAATATGGGATTGTTCTGAGGTCAGTGCAGTGATATTTTCTGCACAAAACCAGACTGGATTTTAATTTCAAATTTAAAGAAGAATTACGTTTGTTTGTCTTTTATTTCAATGGTAATCACAGAGAACAAAATACCCAATCATAATTAGGAATATAAGAAAAAACATATTTAATCATGAATATTACTGTGATACATCAGGAAAACAATGCCATAATCATCAACATGCATTTACAAAATATGTGTGCAAAGGTGAAAAAAGTGTTCATTGAGTAAATGAAATGAAATTATATACTAATAAAAATGAGCTTAGGAAAGCATGACAATTCAGTTTAAATGTGTTTATGCAAATGTGTGGTGTATGTGCATGTCAACAGATTTTGTCTAGATGTTGAAATGAAGTTTTTTACATTTCTTTACATTTGTACTTTTATGTGATTTCTATGATTGGTAAGAGAAAAAGCTTCTGTGTTTGTGAATGAATATGATAGTTTTCCCTGTAAAACTGCTTTAATTGAATTGTACAATATTGTTTGAATTTGGCTAATGCACTAAACATCATGAGCTGAAAATGTATAATTGCATATTTCAAAGTATTATTTAACAAATGTGTAAGATGTGTATGATAAACCAAGACAAATTGTGAACAGTTTGAAGAAACATTGTAAAAATGTTTACTATATTGTTTATTAATGTGAATGAACTTATTGTCGTTTCACTGGACAGTTTGTTATAATAAATGTTGTTTTGTTCATTTAATACCAACAAATTTAATCTCTCAAGCAACATTTTCCACTTACTATACATTTGAAAACTACAAAATGCCGATTGACAAAGACAATCTGCTGACATTGCATGCAATTATAAAAAAAAACAGCCGCTTATGACGAATTCACACCATGTTTTATCCTGATTTTTACTCGCCGACAGGTTTTGTGAAATGGCTTACAAAAGCCCAAAATTGTAGCTAAATATGGTCATTCACGCAAGCAACAATCACACAGTTTGAATGATCAAAAATGTGATCAGATGTCTGGAAATATTTAGCATGCTAAATAGCTGGACTTGTTAATGAAGCAGCACCTCATTTGCATTTAAAGACACTCAAATAGATGTGTTTTTGGGCACACACAGATAGGAGCACATTTGCTTTAATTATTAATGCGTGTGTTAAGTTTTGAGCTAAAACTTCAGACACATTATCGAGACACTATATCAATTTATTTGTCATTATAAAAAGGGGCATAATATGTCCCCTTTAATACACTGTTATACATATATACATATAACCTTTACAATCCAGATTAAATTTAATTACATTTGGTCAGTTCATTCCGTCTGATGTGGTTACATTTTATTTGATTAAACTGATTATTTGTATCTAAATGCAACTTCTGTCCACTTCAGTCTGCAGTAGTATTTCTGCTGTATTTCTTCAGTAAACACCAAAAGATACTTTTCACTGGTGCAATCTATTAGTAAATCTGGCTCAATGTATTATGATACTTGACTTTTAGTTTTAATTTAAAGAGTCATTCATCAAAAAAAGGTTGACAGCTGTCTTAATTAAGTGCAGTATTTAAGTTTAACATCCAGTGGTTCAACATCCAGTGGTATTGTATTCCTGGATCAAAACAAACGCAAGTGCAGGTTGCCAGATTGATGACCAACTGGAGCAAGTCTGACGATCGAGCCTAAAGGCTGATTTAAATCATGTTCTGTATCAATGCAACGACAACCGATCGAATTTTTCATAATAAAAAGAGTTTTTGTTCTAACCAACACCTCAAATTGATATATTAGAAATGGCTTTCTTGCGGCTGAACAACAGAAAACTGACAATGATCACCTCATGTGCTTTATTCAGCGTTAAATACTAACAATGTAAGTTTAAATGCCATTTCACATAACATTTATTGCCATATACAGAAAGCAGCAGATGATAGTTCACCTCAAATTGAAATTGAACTTTAAAACTGTGAAATAATACAAACCAACACATATGAGTGGTTCAGCATGTACATTTAACAATGTTAAAGAGGTTTAATATATGCATTAATTATAAACCCTGTGCTTCTGTGCTTCTGACTGGCTGTATTTAAACTTCTGACGTGTTTCGTTTAGTGCAAATAGCCAAAATGCTCATCACTGCAAATCTCGTCATGTAGTGTGTTGTTAGGACATGGGGTTACAATGTAACCTGCTCGCCTAATGTTTATATTTGTGAAATTTTTAATATTTGCTAATTAATAACTTGATTAACTGCCTCATGTGGAACTCTGAATCTTTGAATCTCATATTGGAGTCTGCTACTGTCTACCTAAGGTCGCATTTCGGTCACAGAAGCATGCTTTGAGATCCTTTATGACTGAATGAATAAATGAATGAAATATGTGGTTTTCCAACAAGGCAATCTGAGTTGCTGAAATATAATTGGTTAAACTGGCAGTGGGCGGGTTAAATAAATCAAAACAAAGACGGTTTTTCTTGGACATGTAACGCACATTTTCAAAGCAGGATATCTGACTGCAGCATTATTTTTCAGATAAACAAGAATGTTCACTTGGCATGTTTCTTAAATATCTACAAACATATTATGTTTTTTAATGCTTTAGAAGAATCAAAAAACATACATACAGGAGCTTTAATAATTATAATTTTTCATAATTATCACATGAAACACCTGGTTCTCATTCAAGCACACCGCTTGCAGATCCTTGAAGCTGAGGACAGAAGCATCTTCTTATAGGTGTTGCGCAGCTCCACGCTACGGAAAGCGTAAATTGCCGGATCAATAACAGCGTGACTCACCAGTAACACTACATGCAGCTGAAAGAGTGAACGGTAGCATTCACAATACGGGTTCTCTGGGCAAATCATCATAATCAGCAGATGAAGGGAGAACGGAGCCCAGCAGGCCACGAATACCCCGATCAATATGGTGAGCGTCAGCGCCCCCCTCAGGCCGCTTTTCCTGTGTTGCGCCTGAGCACCAGGCATAGACGCGATTCGGTTTGCATGATGGCGTGCTAACAGGAACATATGAACATAAAGCAGGAGGATCAGGAGCAGAGCTGTGAAGAAGAGCACGATGAAGAAGATTTTTACAGTGGCTGCCTCAAAAAAGCCGACCATTAGGGCTCCACTGGTGCCACACAAAACCCATATAGTGAACAAAATGATCAGCACACGCCGCATGGTCATGAGCATGTGATAGCGTAGCGCATGGAAAATGCTAATGTACCGATCCACAGCTATGGCGAGGATGCTGAAGATTGAACCTAGAAAGCACATGCAGAGTAAAGAGTCCATGATATCGTCTATCTTCAGCTCAAAAGGGCCGCGTGAGTTCAGGCGTCCGGCGTCTTTAAACAACAGTAGTATATTTTCTAGTGCCTTGGAGAAGCTAGAGATGGTGTTAAACACAGCCAGGTTACAGATAAAGCAGTACATGGGAGAGTGCAGATTCTTGTTTTTGATCACAGCCACAATCACCAAGAGGTTTTCGCTCAAACTGGCCACTGCGATGACCAGAAACACCTGCCCAGGGACCTGGACCTCAGCGCAGTCAGTGTGGATGCTGGAGGGAGATTCAGCGCTGGGGTTCATGATGGATCGATGATCACTCTTAATTGTAGATCAGTTGAAAATTTGACCTAGAGGAAACAAATTAAGAAAAAAATGTTTTTATTAGGTGGATAATTTTGCAATGTGCAGATCGATGCATACATTTTATGGGCTAGTTTAGCACAGTAAAGATGCATTCAATTAATCATTTATAGAATTACTACAAATTATGTGTTCCCAGAACGTTCTCAGAGAGTTCCAGCTGGTGTCAATACCGTTTCTGAGAAATGTTTCCAGAACATTCTAAGAAGGTCATAGTGTGGAGATTAAAAAAAGTTAAAAGTTTTGTGGAACATTATTTAGGCAACCTTCACTGAATATTCAGAACGTTCTCTGAATGTTTGTCACAAATTTCATTGGGAAATGCAATGTTCTCAGAACATTCCAGCTGGTGTCAGAGACTCCGTCATGATGTTCTTCAAATTTTTGGGATAATATTATTTGGCTGACCAAAAATCTATTTTAAAGATTAAAAAAGTGTCCCGAAAAACTGAAAAAAAAATGGAATTTGAGAAAAATGAAATCAAAATAAAAAAAATCATCATAATCACTACCTAACAAAGCCTTGTCGATCCCAGTTGTAAGAGCAACAAATAAACAAATATAACTTGACTTCTAGTAGATCGTTTTGAAAAGTGGCAGAAGGTAGATTTTTCTGATGAATCATCTGTTGAACTATAATCATTACAAATACTGCAGAGGACCTATTGGAATCCACATGGACCCAAGATTCTCACAGAAATTAGTCAAGTTTGGTGAAGGAAAAATCATGATTTGGGGATTACATTCAGTATGAGGTCATGCGAGAGAGCTGCAGAGTGGATGACAACATCAACAGCCTGAGGTATGAAGACATTTGTGTTGCCCATTACATTGCAAACCAAAGGAGGGGGCACATTCTTCAGCAGGATAGCACTCTTCTCATACTTAAGCCTCCACATCAAAGTTCCTGAAAGCAAAGAAGGTCAAGGTGCTCCAGGATTGGCCAGCCCAGTCACCAAATATGAACATTATTGAGCATGTCTGGGGTAAGATAAAGGAGGAGGCATTAAAGATGAATGCTAAGAATTTTGATGAACTCTGTGAGTCCTGCAAAAATGCTTTCTTTGACATTCCAGATGACTTTATTAATAATTATTTGAGTCATTGCAGAGATGTATGGATGCAGTCCTCCAAACTCATGGGAGTCATACACAATATTCATTCTATTTCCACTTCACCATGACTTTATATTCTATACTGTACATTATTTCTGTTAAGTGACAAGACTTTTGTCTAAAATTATAACTTATTCTATGTAAAAATTAAAAATCAAGACATGCTCATATTTTATTTTGGTACAATAAGCATAATTTAATAGCCTTTGCCTTTCATATAAGCCACTTCTGATACCAAATTATCAACTAGAAGTCAAGTTATTATTTGTTGTTCCTAAAACTCGGAGAGGCGACACGACTTTTGTCAGGTAGTTTAAGCCTTAACACCTACAAAAAACTTTCAATTTTATCTGAAACATTATTTGTTGTATTTCTACCCTAAACCTCCTTTCCAAGTTTTCAGCTGTCAGCTTAAAGGAAACTACTGAAGCTTAAAAAGGACATTTCAGACAAAAACAGAACAAGTGATTAAAGCCTCCTACGTTGACAAAAATACCACATTCATCCATAAAGTAGACAAGTGCATATCCAGTTTCAGTTTAAAGCCTTAGAGTTTTTGTACTTGGGGAAAGGTGCATCAGTGGAAACTTTCAGTGACATCTGCATTACAGTAGACTGAACTAAACTTTAATTTAGTGGAACTTCATCTACCGTACGCTAAGCTGATTTGACACAATCTACATTTTAAAAAGTGCCATGGAAATATAGAACTGAGTTTAAAAAAAGCTACAACAAACAAAACAACAACAAAACAATCTGTATTTCTGTTTTGAAGTTGTAAATATTTGGATTTTTTTCGGCCATGATGTTATCTTTTTATAGTAAAAAACAATAGATTTCTTTTTCTTTGAATGAAAAACATAATTTAAAAACACAACAAAAGTATTAAAACTAGCTACAACAACTGCACAACTAAAGAACTAATTCTGTACTATTAATAAAAACATGAATGCTTAAATAAACAGCACAAAAGTTACAATGCTCTGAATAAAGTGTAATTTTCTGTCACTGATTACAATCACCGACCGAATAATTCAATATATGTACACTTACTTACCGTTTTTCTCCTCAAACACCTGTAGAGGAAACTTTCCTCTGCTTCACATGTGGCAGAAACATCAGGCAGCGGAAAAGCCCTGTTAATAGACAGCGTTTGGTCATGCCTGTATATTTGTGTATCCTTGAATGCTCAAGGCTGTGTGAACCATTTGTGTTCATGTTCCTTTTAACAACAAATAAAGCCCAACACAAGGCCTTTCCTCCCTAACACTCTCAAATGGTGCATCTGTGTGGAGACCAACTGCTCTCATCAGTACTGGGTGAAGTGGCTGCTTGATTGTTCGACCTTGCTCTTTTTAAAGAACTTTACTTTATTTTCTGATACTATTTTGCCAGATTTCTAAAATAGCCGAGGTTAAACACACACCGCGACTACAGGTCTTTAATGTGAACCATAGTTTGAACACTCGTCATTAACAGCTTTTTGTTTCATAAACTAATTTATTCAACCACAAATCCATAATTAAAAACTATTCTGAAATGAGGAAACTCTGAGAGTAACAGATTTAGTGAACAAGATTAATGAGGAGCAAAGAACTGTGAGGAGGCGCGCTGTCTGTCAGATGAAGCGTCACGTGTAGTTATGTTAAGTCACGATTTATACTTAGTTAAAGTTTATTAGTATAGCCTACATGACGGAGGTGTTTCCAATTGTCCTGTGATTTTATGTGATATTCTTCTTTATTCGTGAATGTGTTCAAAGGTGATTAAAATTTTGAAACAATTAAATGTTATTGTCTAACAGAGATGCTCAAATCATTGAGCAATCCATCCCATCTGAGAACAGAGGGAAATTATGGGGATGGTTTCGAGATTGTAATTTCAAATTAAATGTAACCTTTTATTTGTTTATTTTATTGTTAAACAACAAAAGAAAACAGCTAAATAAAATTTAGCAATTTAAATGTTGTAATTTAGTTTAAATGTGCATACTGTCTTTCTCCCGATGGACATTGTATGGATAGAGGACAGGACAATGAAGAGACTTTGATGAGCAAATCCAGGCAAAGTCAGATTCTACTTGACAAGTGCATTCAACATTGAACTCCAATATGTTATAAATGTGACTGTTTGTTTTTATGCAGTAAGTTATAATTTAAAAAGTAATACTGCATTAGTTAATATGATTTAAAGTGATCTTTTCTATTTATTTTTTAAATAAATTAGGAAATGACTCATGGCAACTTTAATGTAAAATAGTTTGGTATATTTATCTGGCTCTCAATATTGATGTTGGGTTTTGACCCTTTATACAAAAACGTTTGGGCACCCCTTCTCTATGAACTCTGTAATGCTGTCACCAGCTGGAGACTTTTGGTAAAGTTGGACTTTTTTTTGCATTTCAGACTGCTGAGACGTGCCAGCAGCACAAAACTCTTAAATTTCTCGGGATTATATGTAGGAATAGTGATAAAAGATATATTTTCAAAATTATTATATATTATCAGTCAAAATTATATTTTTTTAAATATTTCATGCCAAATACTACTTAGAATATTGAACTGCCTGCTCATGGTTGACCATATTTTGACTTTCAAATAATGACTGTTAAGTAACACAGCAATCAAACAAACATGAAAACATGATAAATTAGAATCTGAAATATTTTATGGCATACTTACAAAAAATAAAGGTGATTTAGTTTTTATTTTGATTATGTTTTTAAATAAACTGGTCTTACACTTCAGATTTTACACTTCATAGTATATGGATTATTTGTAATACTTTTACCATAAGTCAACATATAAATCATTTGGTAGAGGTTGATATTTTAGAAATTACAGGATGTGTAGAAAAAAATGCATTGAGTGTGTTAACTAGCAACATTAGGAGTTAAGAAATGCAATCCAAACATTTTTTTTCTTGGTGGGGTAGTTAAAGGATTAAGATCATGTTTCAAGATTTTTGAATGTAATCAAAACAATTAAAAAAATGTTTGAATCAATATTTAATTTTTTTAAATCCTTATTTTTTAGGTTTTCAAATTGGCCAAATGTCCCAACAAAGCTTTCAGATGGTATTTCTCGATTAAAAAAAAAAAACTTTTTTGACTGGTTTTTGGTCCAGAGTCACATATTGTAATGGGTAGTTAAAACATTAAATTCATATCTCATTTTAAAAACCAATGACATTTTTATAAAAATGAGAGATATGAGTGCTCTAGTGCAAGTTGTTTGAGAAAACCAGTTGCTTAATGTTGAACACTCAAATCATTAGGTAAAAAGAACAAAACAAAAGACAAAAAAAAAAAAAAAAATCAATGTGTTTTTTTGGTGCATTGATTACCATTCGTAGAACAATATTACTACAAAAACAGTTTTATTTATAGCAAATCAATAGATCAATGGCAAGTGACACTGATGGAAACAGAGAGCCCAAGGCATTTGTGGAGATGGCTGTTACAGGATAGATGGGGCCTTGACATAAAATCGTTTGGTAGAGGTTGATATTTTTAGCATCTACATACAAATTCCCTTCAGAGGAATTACAGCAAGAAGAAAATACTGCTGCCTCAGTCAAGCCAAGGTGCAAGATACTCGAGGCTTGATAGTTTTTGAAAACAAATGTAATATATTAATTTTAAGCACTTCACTTTTAGGTTTACACTAATGTACTGTAAGGTTTTTAAAGTTTGGAATAAAGATTTATTCACGGCTTTGACCTAGGTTTTTTTTTATAATGTTTTTGCTTTGTGTGTGCTGTTATTGAAGATATTCATATTGATTGATCAATTAAACCCAACATTTTTAAACCATCACTGCATCT